TCACCATTGTGTATCCATGTGTGAATTTATTTTCGTTTTTCTAGCTCAAAATTTTTTCTCCTTCAAATTGAAGACACATCTTTTTTCAGTCCTAGAAAATTCTCAATCATTGTGTAAATCAGGATGAGGTTCTGCTGCAAGTGATAAAAACAAACAAACAAACAAACAGAAAAGCTCTCAGTCAGAGGGGTTTATACAAGATAAAAGTTTCTCATATAAACTAGGCCTTCCAAGTGATGTTTGATGATGTCTGGGGCTCAGGGACCCTTCTATTTTATTGTTCCCCCATTCTCAGCAAGTAGATTCTCTACTCAAACTTAAACTGTAACTAGCATTCCAGTTACTACAAAGGAAAAAATACAGAAAAGGGCCTACCTCTTCCCTGTAAGTACATTTCTGGAAGTTGCATCTTCTGTTTTGGTTACATCTCAGAACATAGTCATATGGTCAGTCTCGACACAAGGGAAGCCGGGAAATACTGTCTTTATTCTGGGCAGCCACATTCCCAGCTCAAAATGGGCAATTCCATAAATAAGGCAGAGGGGGAGACTGGTGACTGGAAACAAGTAGTAGCTCTAACAGCCATTTTTTTTTGTTGTTGTTGCAGATTTCTCCCATATTCCCTCTGTTATGTCCTTCTGGAACTCTTAGCAACGTTCTATTCTCTGTGCCTCTTTCTTTTTAATGTATATATTTTTTATCTTTTTGTGTTATATTCTGTGAGATTTCTTCAGCTCTATCTTCCAATTTACTGATTTTCATTTAAGCTATGTTTAGTCTACCAAGTTTTTTTTAAATGATCTATTTTTATTGAAGTCTAGCTGATTTACAATATTAGATTCAGGTATACAGCACCATAATTCAGTATATTTACAGATTATACTCCATTAAGTTATTACAAGATAATGCCTATAATTCTCCATGCTATACAATATATCCTTGTTGCTTATCTATTTTACACATAGTAGTTTGTACCTCTTAGTCTTGTACCCCTAATTTGCCCCTCCCCTCTCCCCTTTGGTAACAACTAGTTGTTTTCTATAGCTGTGAGTCTGCTTCTGTTTTGCATATACATTCATTTATCTTATTTTTTAGACTCCACATAAAAGTGATATCATACAGTATCTGTCCTTCTCTGTCTGACTTATTTCACTAAGCATAATATTCTCTAGGTCCATCCACATTACTGCAAAAAATTAGATTTTTTTTATCTTTAGAATTTCTGTAGCTTTTTCCCTAAAATATGCCTTTTTTTTTAATGCTATAACATTTTTTTTCCTGTATAGTTTGTATTCTTTTAGATCTCAGATGATTTAAGTACACTTCATAGTCTCTTTTCTCTACTGTCTGTAATTCTTGAGGGAATGAATTTTGCTAACTTCTTCCCATAGAAGAGATATACACATAGATATAGAGATACATACAGATGTATAAACATATGTGTGTATGTGTGTGTGTATATATATATATATATATATGTATATACATTTATGTGTGTGTATTTTTTCCATCCCATCCATGATCTCTTTTTCTAGTATCTCATGAATTCAGGATTGCAAAGTGTTACTATGGAGCAGCTTTGTATTGTGTCTACCAGGGTCCGTCAGGTTTCCCTGATTCAAGCCAGTTTTTCTGTTGCTACTTTAGTTTGGGTTTCCTGCACTATCATGAATGAACATTTGGCCCCCATTCCTGTGCACAGTTCATGTCATGTGGGTGGTAATCAGTCTGCTTTCTCCCCTGTCAGGCTAATGGGAGAAAGTATTCTAGAACCCTTTTCACAGCACCAAAGCTCTTCTGGGATCCTGGCTCTGTGCTCAGCTTCAACTCCACTGTACTTGGAACCTTCCAGCTCAGGTATTAAAATCCCAGCCCTTAAGTTCGACTTTCAGTTCCATTTCTCCAAGTTGCCTATGTAGTCTCACCTCTTGCTCACTACTTTTTAGTGTTCTCCTCATTTCAGGCATTTGAGGATTTTAATTTCTTGTTTTAGTGCTTAGTTGTGCATTTCAAATGTTTTTAAATTATATTTCATGTAGCATTTATCTGTGTTAGGAACAACGAGTGCTTTCTACATCAACTTAGTCCATCACAATGATAAAAAGTCTGGAAAGGAGAATTTTCAATCCCTCAAAGCAGTGGAATGAATATCTCTGTATACAAGTGTTGAAATATTTGCTTTAATACTTCTTATACGATCCTTGTTTATTCATTTGTAATGGGTCAGCATTGCCCTTTGCGTTGACATTTGAGAATTAATGGAAAGAGTATTGAGAAACTTAGGTTCTGGTCCTGGCTTTGTTGCTTGCTAATTGCAGACTTTGGGAAATTACTTAAGTTCTCTGAGCCTATGATTAGCTGTAAAATTGGCGTATTATTATTTGCCCTGCTTCACAGGATTATTGTAAGGATCAAATGAGATAATGGATTTGAAGATGCTGTAAAGGTTAAAACACATCATACAAATTTATGGTATTATTAATAGCAATGTCAAGGGTTGAAAACCACTAACACATTCATCAAGATAGTTTTAAAATATGAAGAATTGTGGGTTTTTTGGTTTGGTTTTGGTAAATTGAAAAAAAATCCTGTATCCTGATAAAAGCTATAATTCTATGAAAATACCTAATAAGGGAACTACTTGGAAACATTCAAATATTCTTGTGAAATTTAAGAGCAGCATTTGTACTGACAGGCAGCAACAACTTTAATAGACTATAGAATTCATTGCAGAGAGATACACTCTTAGCAGTTAAAAAACAGAATCTGAACCTGGAAGTCATGATTGCTTTTTGTTACTATGTGTTTTCTCAAAAAAATGGATATTAAAAGTTCAGTTACTGTTTCATGAAGAAATATAAACTTTTAATTTAATGCAGAAAAGATGTCCTCGTATTTGAAAATGTTGAGAACTACCAACCTAGCCTATGGAAGTGGTCCACTAACTGGGCAATTGGGTTCCAAATCCTCCATCTCTCTCTAACATATATTCTCTAAAACAGAAGGACTGTGCCAGTGATTGTCAGTCAACAGTGAGGTCTATTACAGAGTATCTGCGATTTACTAATGTTTAAATTACTAAGTTTGCAAATTATTTACTTTAAAGAAAATCAAAGATTGACTCAAGATGGCACACTGATCTACACCTCTATCACTCACTGCGTACTAAATCATCTTTGTATGATTTGTAATTTTTGTTTGTGACCTTATCTTTACCAGGGACTGTTTTTTCTGTGGATTGTGGAAATACCTCTTTGCAGAGTGGGGAGCACATTTGCTTTTGTCAGGCGTATCAGTGGTATCACCAGCAGGATTATTTTTTACATTAATTTAATATCCTATGAGATGATGTGCATGTAAACTCATATTCCAGACTGGAATGTGGTGCGAGCTTGAGGTTTTACTTCCTCACAGAGGTTTTATTCAGTATCTATAGCTCTAGGCAGAGGCAAACATTCTTGCTGTCTACCCATTAAATGAGTGGAGTTCTAGTCTTCCTTGTACTGAGGTGCCAGCTATTCCTGTGTTCCAGCTTTATGCAGGTTTCAATTCCATCTCTCTACTTTGGAGGCCATAAGATTGTGTCTCTGTTTTGATGTGAATTAAAATTCAAATCTGAAGCCTTTTTTAAAAAAAAAATAGAGTATTCTGAATTTTTTTTCCAAGTCCCTAGCCTTTAAGACCTCTCTCCAAATCTGCTAACAACCTCCACTTCCTTCTCCCCTCACATGAAAGCTTGTGTTCTTGTCGCTCCAATTATATGGTATAGCTACACTATGAAAGACTCTGCTGCTATTAAAATAATGAGGTAGTCTACATGTATAGACAAGGAAAGATCTTCAAGATACATACTGGTACATGAATAAGCAAGTTCTCTCTTTTGGAACACGAGGGTTTCTCTGTTTTGTGAGCTTGGCTATAAATTTGTTTATTGTTTCATTTTATTCAGCATTTCAAGGTGTTTGTAATGAAAGGGGTTCACTATCAGCCATGATCTGCCATGTTTTTAAGAATTGGAAGTCCCCAATACACAAATATTTAATAATGGCATTCATTCATTTGCAGTCTATTAAAATTTCATTAGTGGAGGAATAAAGATACACCTGTAGTCTTAGCAGTACTACAGGTAATAGTGTGCAACCATATATTCCCAGGGAAATTTGTTGGGCCTGTAAATACTCTCTTTGGCAGCAGAGGACTACTTCACCTACTTCCACTTGTGTGCAACATAACATAGCTTATAGTAGATACATTTTTGGCACACTAAAATGTACCAAGTAGAATAACTGGTAGAATTAACCATACCAAACTCAGCCAAGAAGTAAAGGTTGAGTTAGTGCTAGAAATAATTTAAGTAAAATAGAAACCAATTTTGGAAATATTTTGATATTCTAAGTACTCATGTCTTAGAATTAAGAGAGAGAAAGAAAGAATGTGTGTGTGTGTGTATGTTTATTTTGCACTGGGAGAAATGTTTTTAGTTTTCACTCTCTTAATTGTATGTAGAGGGGTTCAAAGTTTTAGAACAAGAGGAAAATTCAAGTTTATAGGAGAATGTTATCCTTACAGTGAAATTTTAATTATAGTAAAAGTGATGATGTGACTACACTGAGCGCTGACCAATGCGCATGATCTCATGCTTAGTATCCTTAGGAAGTTGCTATTTTCCTAATTTTACAGATGAGGAGACTGAAATCTAGAAGTTTAAGCAGTTTACCCAGTGTCACACAGCTTATATGTGATGGAGCCAAAATTCTAACCCTGGTTTGATTCTAGAGCCATGATTAACGACTATTTAATATGGCTTCTTCTCTAAAAGTTTTATAATATTTGTTAATTACATCCATTGTTGTTCAAAACAAAGTTGTTATAGTTACAAATATTATGACATAGAACTATGTATCATATCCATCACTTATTGGAGACCACATGTATATTTTTGGTGTATTTTATTATCTTTTTTTCATTTTCCCATTTATGTAAGTCATAATTTTTGAGGTTATTGATAACAGAAAAAGCAAATGTCAGGGCCTTTACGATGATCTTGAAATTTCTCTACATTCCAAGGATTATGTTTTTATCTGGAAAAGATAATTTATCCTGATTTGTCCTGACTTTTTATTGCTGGACTTAAAGGATCATGCCTGGTGAGAAGAGCATTTACTGCAGTTATTTGAAAGATGCCGGCAGTCCTCTCCCTTCTCTCAGGAGTTCTGGGGCATGCGTTGGCTGCCTCTCTGATGTCTGTTTCTGATAAGTGAGTTGTAGTCTCCAACAACTCCTGGGAATTTTGTGGGAGAGACTGGGTGAGATCATTTTGCTTTCCGCTGAGTTTCCTTTCTCTGTTTTTTTGGATTGTTCTGATGAGCATGACCCCAGAGCATTCAGTAATACCTCTGTTCCCTTAGGAACTATTGGCCTACTCCCTGGTTTTATCTCCGTCTGCACAAAAACTCCATGTCGCTGGAAAGGAAAACAAAGCTGACATTAACCAGGGCTCACAAGTTGCTGGAAGATGCAGCTGTGAACTGAGTTCATGCATTAGCTCAGGTCCTGGTGAGACAGGCACTTATGTCTCTGTCTCTTCATTGGCTGTCACCTTAGTCCAAAACTGAAGACAGCAGCATAATAATTATTAGTGAACCTTTTAAAGAAATTATAAACTAGAGTGCACCAGCAAATGGACAGGAAGGGAAAAACAGGAAGTCAGAGGAGCGGCATCTCATTATCTCTCATTCTCAATTTTTCTATTATTTGGATTGTGTAAAGCTATTCATATCAAATTTCATTTCTCTGTAAGTTGCTATGGATACAACAGAAACTACAGTTCATAGACCTAAGGATTTAATGATTGCATCACAAATGTTCCAACAACTAATAGTCGTTGTGAAATGTTATTATTAGCTATAGTGAAATATGAAAACAAACATCTGCAGTCGGAAAAAATCCAGCAATTGACTGTTACGTTTCTGTTTCAACTTATAAACCTTATGTTCTTCCCCCTGCCACACACATATATAAACATATCAAAAATTTATCAGATTGATCTGATGTTACCTTAAGTGAATGATTTTAATAATTTGAACCAAATTCCAAAGACTGTGATCCAAAATTATGACATCACTCTTTAGTTTTGACCATGACATGTGGTTAAGATTTTATCCTCCTAATAACCATGTTAGTTTGTTTAAATAAACTTTGAGAAAGATGGTTACCACTTGAATAAACTTAAATTTCTACCATAAATCTATCCCATCATAAAGTATTAAATAATTGATTCTAAATACTGCCTCACCTTTCCCCGGATGGGCTCATTCGGTGATTTCCTGGCATCATATTGATGTATAAAAGAGATGCGTTCTATAAAACTCTTTTGAAGTTCTGCTGATGCATCAGGAGAGGCAAGTGGAACTAAAGAAAAAAAAAGGAGCTTTAGTGAAGTCAGGATAAAAGTTAGATTTGTATATGGAAATGTAATCAGTATTCATAATATTTCTGCTTTGTCAAAAATGCTAATGAAACTAAAATTCTTTTAGGTATGCAAGGTTACTTAAACACATCTAAATAATACAATGGATTCATCATTCTTTCTCCATGAAAAGAATCAAATCAAAACAACCAAATTAACTCCACATGTGGCATTGCTAGTAATTTTGAAAACTAACATTAATGCAATAATGGCTTTTAAAAATCTACTGTTCGATATGCTTCTTGTACATATACCAACCAAAGTATTAGGAAAGGCATAAGTACAATTTATTTGCCGACTTATTTTTTGACTCCTAGAAAGGCTTTGAGAAATGTATGCGCAAGTTGCTCCAGCAAGAGCTGACAGATGAACTGGAAGACTCCAGGGCTGCTGCACTTAGAGCTGAACACATAATTCTTTTCATTTCTCATTGATGGAGGGTCTGAAAATTTGCAAGAATATTAAACCCCCTAAAATCCACTTTTAAATAATCTGTCAAACTGTGTCATAGGTATATAAGGGTTCACGATACTGGTCTCTCTCAGCTTAAAAATTCGAATCATTTTGAAAACTCACTTTAGTTTTGCTTTGGGCTCACAAGGTTATGTAAGAAATCAGAGTAACTTCCAGTTTAGTGATACGAAATTCTGTCAAGGAAAAATTTAAAATGTCTCCCTTTTATAAAAAATGTAAACGTAGTACATTAAGTACACCTACCATATCTGTGTTATGATGACAAGAAACTGATGGCAGTGGTTATCGCTAGGGGGAGGGAGTTAGCAGACTGGAGGATAGAGATGGATTCGCTTTCACTGTTTATCCTATTGTACCATTTGAATTTTGTACCGTATGCACATATTAACTATTAAAAAATTAATTTTTAAAAACCGTGCTTTTAAAATTAGGGAGGATATATAAGAAGGAAAAATGTTACTAAATTCACATTTATTAAGCATTCATGAATTCAACTCAATATTCAGACATTGGTATAAACTAATTTTACTGGCAGGAATGATGAATGTTCAAATATTTGTATATTCCATGATAGGAAATGGCAGTCTTTTTCAGTGAGCTGAGAAAAATGCTAATTGATAACATTTTCTGGATTTCTAATTGAGATCAGATACTCAAAACTCATTTTCTACTTGATCATTAACCTGTTAGGATTTGCTAGCACACAAGAGAATGGCAGGTGCCAAAGACTTAACAAAAATTTGTGGACAACTACTACATTGAGAATATTCTAACCATAACTTGTATTTTTCTACCAATTTGGAAAAGATTACCTGGTTTTGAGTGAAGGCCACCATGGTCCAGCTCACAGAATATTAGTGTTTTCAGGAACATAGTTTGATAGCTTTTTGAATAAAATGAAGCGGCTCTAAATTTAGGCGTTAATCAGGTGGGGTTAATGGAGTAACCAAAGCACGGGCTTTGGGATAAAATAGATATGTTTTCAAATTCCAGCTCTACCACATTTCCTAGATGTGTCACTTTGGACAAATCACTTCCTCTTCCTCTCTAAAGTGAGGATAATAGTAATTTGCTTTCAGAACGGTGAGCATTAAAGACAATGTTTATCAAGTCTCCAGGATGCTGGGTCAGATTAGAAAGGGGCTTCCAAGTTAGGCAAGGGGTGGAAGCGCTTTTGTATCCTGACAAAAGGGGAAACCATGGAAGCAGCGTGAAACTAATGAACTATCAAAAAAACTGAGAAACCCGAAGGGTTTGGTGAACTGATATGAAGGGTTGGTGGCAGCGTGGGCTGGAGGACAGGGAGATCAGATGTAGCCAGTAGAGAACAGGCTGGGGAGAGCTTTTAAAATCTGCTCTCAACTTTTCCCCCACACTGCCTTCGGAAGACCATTGCTTGCCTCAGGGCAGCAGAAACTGGCAGCGACAGTCTAGCCATCTGTGGTCAACTTAGAAATATGGGAGCAGCACAGCAGTGCCTCCAGGGCAAGGAGCTGCTGAAAATGGATGCATGCGGCCCCCCTGGGGATTTCCTCCTCCGCCATTCCCCTAGCAACTGTCAGTGCTAGTGGACTAAAAACATCAAGAGATTGCCTTCTCTCGGTGATGCGTGTTTTTAGGAGTTTAAAGGGGAGAGGAATGGAGCCCTGACTAGAGAACTGGTCTAGAATAGTGACAACAAATGAAGACGGTCAGAACTGGTTCTGTGGGGCCTGACACTCTCCAGTCTAACGTTTTTTCCTTCCTTAAATTCATTGGGAGGCACCCAGGCCAGACATTGGTGTTTAGCCTTTGCCCACACAGGGCTGATGATTCCTCTTGGGGAATATGACCTAAGATAAACTAGAGAGACACTGTAAAAGAAAGACAGCAAAGTTTGAAACATACGCTATGTGAAGCAGAGTTCTTAGAACCTGTGCTCCAAGAATTTAAACTATGTATAACAAATACCTGCAAAGGTAAGATGGTGTTCTTCATATAAAGCAAGAATAAGAGGTGATAAAAAGAGTCATGTAAACTATTAGAAATGAAAAAATATAATAGTTGAAATAGAAAAAAATGAGATAATTAACAAGATCCATAAACTAGAAAATCAGGCTGAGAAGCTCTCCCAGAAGGCGGCAGAAAAAGATAAAAGAAATAAAAATATAATAGAAAAACTAAGAGACAAGGATGGTAGAAATACCAGCATTAGAATTCAAGAGACCTGGAAGAAGAAATAGAGAAAAGGAAATGTTTGAAGAAATAAGGATGGTAAATATGTAAGAATTAAGGAAAGCCTAAAGATCTCAGATTGAAAAGGCTCACAGGTTACCAAACAGGTAGCAGGACCAGGAGTAAGATGAGGCAGGTGAGGCCCATGGGCTGCCAAGTGTAAGGAGGAGGCACTTGCATGATCTTGGGAGTGAATGCCTCCTTGCATTTTGCACCTAGACCTCTCACTTGCCTCACTCTCCTCCCAATCCTGCATGGTAGAGAAGAAAAAACTCACACCTAAATCACGTTATAGAGAAATTTAAGGGCACCCAAAACAAAGAAAAAATTCTAGATGTTTTCAAAGAGGAGTGATAGATTACTTACAGAGGAGTAAGAAAATGATTTATATCAAATATCACAGCAACAACAATGGACACGTGATAACTGATGAATTTTTTATACTATTAAACGGAAGAGAACTTGAAGTCTGGAATTTTTATGTCCAGCCAGACTGTCATTTAACTATGAGGCCAAAATATAAAATATTGGGAGACAAAGAAGGTCTCAGAGTACTTCCCCATAAAACAAACCTACTTCAAAAAATTCCTAGAGGAAGAACTCAAGTAAGAATAGAAATAAATCAAGAAGGGTGCCTAAGGAAGCAAATAACAAAGTTTTTTGTTTTCTTAAAAAGACAAAGACTTAGAAAGAAAAATAAGTAATATACCTATAGTAATTCAGAACTAAAATTCTACTGTCAACATATTAGTGGAGATTCTGGTGAATATTATAAAGAATGAAAAAAGTAGTATAATAGTTGCAAAGGAGAAGAAAAAACTGTTATTATTTGTAGGTAATATAATTACCTGAATAGAAAAACCACTAGAATCAATAAATGATGAGAACAAAGGTGTGTCAAGACAAGCAGATAAGTGTACAAAAATTAAGAGGATTTCCTATAATGAAAATAACCTGCTAGAAAACAAAATGAAAAATAAGATATAGCCCCTGTAGGAATAAAACTATACAGTACAAAGTTTCTAGAAATTAATGAATTCACAAGCCCTCTATAGAGAAAAAAACTTTAACTCTCTTAAAGACAAAAACAGAGCTGAATAGACTTTCTATTCTCTTAGATAGGATAGGACAGTATGTTACTGTAAAGGAGACAATTTTTCCTAAATTAATCCATAATGTCAACACAACCCAATCAAAATTCTAGCAGGATATTTTGAGAAATGTCATAAATTCCAAAGGTGAAATGGAAAAATAGAGGTCCATAAGTAGAGAGCTTAACTATGAAAAGGAAGTGCAAAGAATGGGGATTTTTTCTGTCAGATATTGAGACAAGCTAAAAATCTATATAATTAAAACATTTTAGTTAACGATACAAGAACTGAAAATTCACCCAAGGAATATCACAGAGAGCTCTGAGACAGACCTTTTTATGCAGCGATCCCTAACATACAGTTGAGGTGGTTTCCCAAGTCAACAGGGCAAGTGTGGATTGTTTAGTAGATGGTATCCAGAAAACTTCTTCACTTTATGGGGAAAAATGGAACAGGTTCCATAAAGGTGGATTAAAGATATAATTATGCAAGGTAAAATTATAAAATCAAAAGAAAAAAATGTAGGAGAGTATTTTTGTCACTGAAGGGTAGGAAAACTCATTTACTATATTTATATGTTTTCTAAGTGTTTAAGAAGGTTTTGATTGACAAAGTTTTACATTGTCTTTGTTATTTAAAGCATTTAAGAGGAAAACATAATTAAAAAAACTTACAGTTTAAAATGCTCATGGAATTTGACTGTAACCTGAGTTAATCAAGGAACAAGTGAAAGTAATTAATCTAATGTTATACAATATTTAAAAATTAATAAGGCTTAAATAAAATGTTTTTTAATTTATAATTTTAAAATTAGAATATTAATTTAAATCATAAATAACCATAAATAACTTTCTATATACAAAGACCTCCTTAGAACATGAGAAATCTTACACTGAAACATTATCACCTTCAAAAGATTAACAGCTGGACTGCTTGCAGACTTGACATAACAATAGAATCCATTTAACAATGGAATAATATCTTCCAAATGTAAAAGGTTAAGTAAGTATGTATCCAGAATTTCATAGCCAGCTATAGTTTCATTCATTAAAGAGTGAGGGCAACTTCAAAACATTTTCAGACAAAGAAAGCTGAAGAGCTGGCTATTCCTGAACGCTCATAGAAAGAACTATTGAAAGACATGGAAGTGGTCTGTTACATTGGTGGCCCCAGTGGCTCAGGCCTCCCAGTCCTCTCCTTGTGAATGTGAACTGGCCTTGTAATTAGCTTCAACCAATAGGATGCGGCACAGGTAACACTGAGCCGGTTCCAGGCATAAACCTTTGCAGGTTCTGTTTTCACACTCTTGGGAGCCCTGAGCTGCCATGTGAGAAGTCCAGCTACCCTGCTGGAGAAACCACATGGAGAGACCACATGAGAGAAGCCCAGTCATTCCAGTGTCCTAGCTGAATCTAGTCCTCAGATGACCTGCTAACCAAATTCAGCCATTCAAGTGCCCACCAGCAAGACCAGCCAAAGAACGGCCCAGCTGAGCCCAGCCCAGGTTGCAGAATCATGAGCATATAAAATGATTGTTGTCTTAAGCAATGAAATTTTGGAGTGGCTTGTTACGCAGATAACGAACAGAAATAGTTTAGAAGGAAGTCAATTAAATCAATTAAAGTGAATCATCTTTTATACAGTGATGTAGAACCTCACAGAACCTCAAAAATAATAACTTAAAAAATTCTTCATGGAGACTAATAGAGAGGAAAGGTAGTCTGAGCTATTATTATATAAAGAAATCCCCTACCCAGACATCATACCTACTAATAGTGTAACTACCATGGTCATTTATGCAAATGGATGAGGTTTTTAAAGAAGCCCACAATAGTGAAGATCATCTAAGTGGGAAAACATCAAAGAAGATATTCAAGTTCTTAGTGGTTGCTCTACTTAAGAATTCAAATTGGACCCAAAATAATTACTTAAAAGAAGCCTTGTTAGATGAGGCTTACAAAAAATACAGCAAAGTCCATGAAGAATGTTTGAAATCCACCCTCTGTTTCTTGGAAACTTCATCTAATTAAAATAGGGATTTTCCAAACAAGGATACAACAAACAAGTTGGTGTCTAGCCATCTATATTTTATCAGCAAAGCCAAGATTATTCAGACACACAACTCGCTCCTCATATTGATGGGAATTTAGCAGCTTTTACTTTGGGAAATTTTCTTAACTTTTTGTGTGTGTCTACTTAAAAAACATTCATCAGTATTATTTTTCTATTAGAAACTCCATTTTCTGAATACTATTTATTTTCATCTTAGATGAAAAAGATTATTAATGAAAAAAGTACAGATTTCAAAATACAGTGAAAAAAAAGAAACTTGAACATAACTATATAGCAAGAAATCATTGTTATGTTACACCTTGGTACAAACGAAGCAACACAAACTGAAACCCATTTTAGAAAAATATTTTTAGCACTGTATCTGAACTCACAATTTCAAAGAACGTTGAAATATTAAGTAGTTGACAAATAGCCAAAGTTTCATTTGTGTGAGACAGCTCCCTCACAAATTAGATCAGCTTTTCCAATTTTATTATATAAAACCAAAAGTTTTATTATGTAAAACACTTATTCTTACGGGGACTCAGATATGATGGAGCATAGCCATTTGTTGAACTGACCATGGATGGCAGCCAGGAAATTGTGTGGTGGTACAAGACATAAAGGGCACTTTCATTATCAGCACAAGATGACATTGCTGAAATGCCAAAACTCAGGCGTAATTAAGTGGGCTGATGGAAGAGAATGACTATGAGATGACTTTTGTTACTAATGCATGATTATATACACATTTTCTACATCTATATGCATATATAGAGATATAAAATCTGGCATATACAGACTAGCTTAGTACGTATTTTAATATGTTATATAAAATATTTTCTTTTAAAACTCATTCTCATCTAGTATCCAAACACCATCTAAAATATGAATAAATGGCTGGCCTATATTGTGATGTATATATTAATTTAAATTAAATTATGACTTTAAACTAAATAATCTGTTGAATAATGTGCAATTATCATTAAATTAATCAATACACATTTGTTGAATCTGGGCATTGCTGTAGGACCTGGAATATAATAATGATCATGGCAATGAGAAATACCAATAAAAGAACAGAGAGAGAAATGAAGGAGAAAGAGGAGGAGGAGAGAGGGAGAGAGGGAAGGGATAGAAGGGGAGGGAGAAGGGAGACCTCCATGCCAAGTTTCCAAAGCTAGATTCCAACCCAACAACTAACTTAGTACAAGGCAATAATTAACAATAGAAATAGCTACCATTTGTTGTCTACTATGTATGAAGCATGGTGGCAGGCAACTGACATGTTATTTCATTTGTTTCTCAAAACAATCCTGCAAAATAAGAATTATTACTCCCGCTTCATAAACTGAGTAAAACAAGATGATGAAATTTAAGTCATGGGCCCAGAATCAAACAACTCTAACTGTTGATCTCATATTAAATTCCAAGGGGAGTTAGTGTTGATAGTGATTTCCAGTTAAACATTGCAAATTCAACATGTGTATTGCCTCAAATTCTCTCTCCCAAGCCCCAGTACAATGATAGTAAAGAAAGGAAAGGGGCTTAAAGCCTTAAGGGAAAAAGAGAACTAAATGCGAGCAGAGCTGTTAACAAATTTGGAAGCTGGAAAGCTGATGGATGAGCCGCAGCTGACTTGAGTAGAGCACAGAAAACTGGAAGCTAAGTGCTTGTGAAGGAGAAGGTGGGATGGAAATCAAGCCAATTCATGGCAGAGCTCGGGGATTGGAGGCATCAGACACCTCTGAGGCAGGGAGCGTGGGTTGTGGGACCAGCTGAAGCTGTAAACTGAAGACTGGAAGACTCCCAGATTTTCTGTCTCCCACTCCAGGCAGCGGTTTGGAGATTTCTTCTATGGGAAGATTGACAGACCTACAGACACTGATTTGGGGGCTTCCCTTATGAAATGGCTGGGCCCTGCCTGATCATCCTAGAACAAAGTCTTAACTCTCTCGTCTCATCTTCCACCACTTCCCGTATTGAACTAGAGAAGAAACAACTGCTCCTTATAAGGAAGTACTGGGACTTGATTGGTTAGTTAACAAAAAGTCAGTTAAAGTGAAGAATCATAGAAATTATATATACCAGACTTAGATATTTTATTTTAATCAGTTCATTCACCAAATTTTGATTGGAGTGCCAAGCATTTTCCTTGAGGAAGTATCTGTTGGTTGGAATTCCACTTTGTATTTCTTGCACAAACCACATCCCTAAATGCATCCTTTTCAGTGTCAAAGACACAGAATGGAAATTTAAAGATGTGTCTGAAGGAAAATGAGTACAGAGTCCTTCAAGATTTTAAAAAATTCTCTCTAGCTCATCTTTGATAGTTATTTTACCCTCATCTAATTAGCATGTTTAAAGTTAGTGTTTTGTGAGATAGCAGTCATGTAAGACGATCTTCTGAAAAAGGGTGAAATTGTGAATATTGGGGAAACAGCATTCTTTATTCTTCTTCTTGGAAATTCATTATGCTTATGCTTAGAATAGGGTTTTAAGAGTTCTGTAGGCCCGGGATCCCCTCGGCTTGCCTACCCGCCATGGCCGACAAGGAAGCAGCCTTTGATGACGCAGTAGAGGAATGTGTGATCAATGAAGAGTACAAAATATGGAAAAAGAACACCCCTTTTCTTTACGATTTGGTGATGACCCATGCTCTGGAGTGGCCCAGCCTAACTGCACAGTGGCTTCCAGATGTAGCCAGACCAGAAGGGAAAGATTTCAGCATTCATCGACTTGTCCTGGAGACACACACATCGGATGAACAGAACCACCTTGTGATAGCCAGCGTGCAGCTCCCTAATGATGATGCTCAGTTTGATGCTTCACACTTTGACAGTGAAAAAGGAGAATTTGGAGGTTTTGGCTCAGTTAGTGGAAAAATTGAAATAGAAATCAAGATCAACCATGAAGGAGAAGTAAACAGGGCACGTTATATGCCCCAGAACCCTTGCATCATTGCAACAAAGACTCCATCCAGTGATGTTCTTGTTTTTGACTATATGAAACATCCTTCTAAACCAGACCCTTCTGGAGAGTGCAACCCAGACTTGCGTCTCTGTGGACATCAGAAGGAAGGCTATGGGCTTTCTTGGAACCCAAATCTCAGTGGGCAATTACTTAGTGCTTCAGATGACCATACCATCTGCCTATGGGACATCAGTGCTGTTCCAAAGGAAGGAAAAGTTGTGGATGCGAAGACCATCTTTACAGGGCATACAGCAGTAGTAGAAGACGTCTCTTGGCATCTGCTCCATGAGTCTCTGTTTGGGTCAGTTGCTGATGATCAGAAACTTATGATCTGGGATACTCGTTCAAACAGTACTTCGAAACCAAGCCACTCAGTTGATGCTCACACTGCTGAAGTGAACTGCCTTTCTTTCAATCCATATAGTGAGTTCATTCTTGCCACAGGATCAGCTGACAAGACTGTTGCCTTGTGGGATCTGAGAAATCTGAAACTGAAGTTGCATTCCTTTGAATCACATAAGGATGAAATATTCCAGGTTCAGTGGTCACCTCACAATGAGACTATTTTGGCTTCTAGTGGTACGGATCGCAGGCTGAATGTCTGGGATTTAAGTAAAATTGGAGAGGAACAGTCTCCAGAAGATGCAGAAGATGGGCCACCAGAGTTG